GGGGGGGGTGTCTGGGATGGAGGATAGCAAGATGGGATTGACGGAGGGAGGGATGGAGGATGGAGAAAGGCAGGGAGGAGTAGGAAAGGAGCGGAAGAAGAAGACGAGGAGAGAAGACCTAATGAGGGGGGAGGAGGAGGAAGAAGAAGAAGAAGAGAGGTGGGAAGAAGAAGAAGAAGATGAAGAAAGGTCGAGGAGAAAGATGAAAACGCACGGGGGAGGAGGGGAAGAAGAAGAAGACGAGAGGACAACGAGAAGGAGAAGAAGAAGATGACCGAAGGGGAGGGAGGAGGATGGCCTTCGTTTTTTTTTTTTTTTTAACCTAACGTGTCTCATGTGACCTATCAAAAGTCGACGAACTGAAAAAAGTAGAAGAAGCAGGAGGAGAAGAAGAAGAAGAAGAAGAAGAAGAAGAAAGGTGAGGAGGGGAAGAAGAAGAAGATGAAGAAAGGTCGAGGGGAAAGATGAAAATGCACGGGGGAGGGGAAGAAGTGGAAGACTAGATGACGACGAGGAGAAAAGGAGAAGAAGACGACCGAAGGAGGGGGCGGAGGACGGCCTTGTTTTTTTTTTTTTTTTCAACCTAACGTGTCTCACGTGACCTACTGAATGTCGACGAACTGGAAGAAGAAGCAGAAGCAGAAGGAGAAGAAGAAGAAGAAGAGGAGAAAAAAAACGAGTGGGGGAAAATGGGAAGATGAAGAAGAAATGAAAGGTTATGGAGGAAGATGAAATCGTGAGGTGGACGAAGGGAAGATGAAGAAGACGAGTGGAGGAGGAGAGGAGGAGGAGGAGGAGAGAAGAAGAAGAGGATGAGCTGAGTAGGGGGGGAGAAGTAGAAGATGAGCTGGGAAGGGTAGGTGGATGGCCTGTCGTATCTCACGTGACCTGCCAAATGATCTAGAACAAGAAGAAGAAGAAGGGGAAGAAGTATGCCGGCGGTCGGGTATGGAGAAAGGCATGGAGAAGTAGGGAAGGAGTGGAAGATGACTAGGAGAGAAGAAGACCTAATGAGGGGAGAAGAAGAAATAGAGAGGTGAGGAGGGGAAGAAGAAGAAGATCAAGAAAGGTTGAGGGGAAAGATGAAAACGCGAGGGGGAGGATGGGAAGAAGTGGTGACGACGAGAAGAAAAGGAGAAGAAGAAGATGAGCGGAGAAGTAGGGGGAGGAGGACGGTCATGTTTTTTTTTTTTTTTTTGTAACCTGTCGTGTCTCACGTCACCTACCGAATGTCGACGAACTAGGAGAAGAAGAAGAAGAAGAAGAAGAACAGCGCCTTCGTCGTCGGGGCCTTTGTCGTAGCAGCAGCGGCAGGACAGTCGGGGCCTTCGTTGCACACCTGATGGTGACGGGTGACGGCTCAGCAGGAGGTTGGCAACTGGGATCGTGCTGGGGGACGAGTGGCAGCCCACCCCAGCCGATCGAAGGTTTGAAGGGGGGAGAGGGAGTTTGGCTCCACAGCAGAAGAGTTATGGGTCCAGCTTTCAGCTTGTGGAGGCAGAGCGTTTTCTGTTTGTTCTTTTCTATACATAAGGTGAGTTGTTAGTCCGGAAGTATTCCCCCGGCAGGCTGTCCAGATACATGTAGTGGAGCAAGGTCCATTCGAGATAGATAGAGAGAAGAATATAGCTTAGGTCCGTTCTTGGGCTTGCACCTCGGAAGGCTTTGACATCACTTTTCCGAAATCCAAACCAGTAACTTTTCCCACAGATGGCAGGGATGTGGCAGAAGGATATAACATCAGCAGAGCCTCATCACAACCATAGTGTTCCCCTCTTGGCTGATGGTGTAAGGGGGCTGCTCTTATCACCTCGTTAAGTGGATCTCCCGCATATGAAGTTTCTTTTTTTTCTTTTTTCAAAGGAAAAAAAAGAAGAAAAAAAAAAAAAGAAAAAAAAGAAAGAGCATCGGATGTTGCCAAAGGTAACTGGTCCGTTGGGCCACAGGATGACAAATTGGAGAAAAGGCCTACCTACCCAACCCGCATCTTAAGAAAAATGTGTGGTGGTTCTCCACTACTGATCTGCAAAGGTCAGCGGCGGATATGCGCCGCCCGGTTTTCTTAAACCACCAGTACTTCCTCGAGTCGTGCCCGTTAACGCGCCACAATTTTAGGAAACATACGGGCTACTACAGGAGCGCCCAAATTCATCCGACTAGAAACGTTTGTACTCTTGTTTCTTCCGCGGCCGATAGCTGGGCCAAGTACTGGTGGTGTAAGAAATGGGGTCCAGGATGCCCAAATTTCTTTTTTTGTAAGATGCACGGGCCTCCTTGGGGCTGGGCAATCGCGGGGATGCCCATGACTCCCTAGTACCCCGTCCCCCTCCCCCCCCTTCCCCTAGTGTAATGCGCTGGACTCAATTGGGAGTCTGCAGGTCCGGTCACCTCCCCGGTCGACCGACAGGCTCTCGGTCGGGGGAGGGGCCCCGGGACTAGCCCTGGTTAGACATAAAATTCCTTTCTCACAGCAACATAACAGAAAACAGGTTTTCAGGAAAATGCGTGCAGTCCTAAAATTCATGTGACACCGCAAGATGCCAAAAACGCATTTCCAGCACACAGGAGGAGGACATGAACCAAATCGATTTGAGAATCAATTTGAGAATGACCCGCATGATGCGATTCTCAAATCGATTCGATTATGTAATCTAATCGAATCAATTTGAGAATTGCGTGTCGCTAGCGGGCTGCTATGGGGTTCCCCGTATGGCTGCAATTAGGAGTAGTGGTAGGTAGGTAGTGTGAGGTGAAATTGAGAGAAAAATATAGCTTTACAAAAAAAAAAAAAAAAAAAAAAAAAAAAAAAAAAAAAAAAAAAAGACACCCGCCTGATGCGATTCTCAAATCGATTCGATTATGTAATCTAATCGAATCAATTTGAGAATTGCGTGTCGCTAGCAGAGTGTTGAAAAATGTATATTATGTTGTGCAACATTTTCGTACAAGATATATTTGTCCGAGCACCATCACGAAAACATTGCTTTGCACGGAAATGGGGATACTTTGAACGAGTGGGCTCAACAACACGCAACCGAAGGCCGAGTTATCCTAGTAAGATACGCCAACGATTTCGTCGTTCTTCGCAAGGCTCGAAGAGTTGTTCAGGGCACTAAAGGGTTCCTATCACAATGACGCCAACCCATAGGCCTGCACTTCGTTGGCCAGAATGATGCACGAGTTTGAGTAGAAGGTAGTGCGCATGTTCTCATCTGATGATACGTTTTATCCTAACTTTGTTTCCTTTTGTAAGACTTTGGGTTACTGGGACAGGGTTCCGACATGATATCCCCCGAGCCCTGTTATTTTGCTTTGCTTGTCTTTTTGCCTGGTCTTACGAGAGCAGAGATATGTAACATGCAGTTCCTGAAAACTGTACCGAAACGAAAGTTCATTTTGCCAAACTTTGCGATACGTTTTCGATAAACTAGTTTTGAGGAAAAAGTTTATATCTCAGGTTTATGGGTCGCAACAAGACAAGTAAAAAACAGGTTTTCAAGAAAAACACTGAACCCTACCATCAATGTCTCACGACAACATACTAAAAACCAAGTTTTTTTCATATTAAAGAAATTCAAAGAAGTTATGTCAATAATATAATAGTTTAGCAGAAAATTTGAGGTCAGCCACAAGCACAGTTGAGGCAAAAAACCAATTCCTGATTGCCATCATCGACTCTATGTCCACAAAAACAGGCAAAGAAAATTTCATTGCATGTACAAAGTGCAACAATCAGCTCATTGTAAGTCCCAGCAGTAACGCAAAAAACCCACAACTATCCAACCATACCCACGAGGAGCAAGTGGGCAGGTTCCCATGTACTTGGCAACAGTGGTGGAAGAAGCTCAAACATTGCAAGTGCTTAATGTCCCAAGAGAGCCTATAGACAATATGAGCCCCACAAAAGCACCAAAGCAAGAAGACAAATCTCAAACATTGCAAGTGCCTAATGTCCCAAGAGAGCTTATAGACAATATGAGGCCCATAAAAGCACTAAAGCAACAACGCCACAACCAAGTCAGCAAACCTATGCCGGTCGCGTAGAGGGTCCCTATCAACTTATGCATGCCTGAAGCCTTAGGCGTGTCGCCAACCCTCTGCCACTGTGCGGCTCTGGTTGTCCTTCTCCTTCGTGACGCTCTCCACACAGCCTCTGTCTGCCAAACTTGTCCTGATTCCCCTCAGACACGCAAATCGCTCTCAACAACCAGCACATTTCGTTTGCACAACAGTGCTGCAACGGCTCTAGTCCCCGATCCAGAAAAAACATCCACTATGTATGAGTCATTCGGGTCAGAGAACTTCTTGATGAGCCACTCATACAAAGAGATGGGTTTCTGGTAGGGACATAAAATTTCATTGTCTGCAGCAAAAATGTACTTCCTCGCCACTGCATTGTGACTCCAACAGGTCATCCTCGTGGCAGAGTCGCTGAACTGAAACTGAATGGGCTCCCTGGAGGCGCTCTGCCTGTAGAAACCAATAACACAACGCTGCCAGCAACTAGTGAGCTTGAGACTTGCACAAGTACTAATGTTGGGAGCAACCCAAATGCCCACCTCCACCCCACAATTGCAAGCATATGAAAATGCAGATTTCACGTCAGTGAGCATGTCAGAGGAGCAGAAACCAGCAATGACCCAATATGGTGCACATGCGATCTTTTTGAAGCTCGCAATGCTTCCCTCTATTTGAGGCCTACAAAACGACTCCTCATCATCCACAGAGCCCTCTGTGTTGTAGCCGCTTGGGAAGTCCATAATGCACAAGGTGAAGGGGAGTCTGTCCTCCATTTTCTCTCGTAGCTGGACCATGTCGCAGTGCGCCACCTTCACGGTTCCCTTGTAGCCCTCCCCCTCAAAAGCAGTCCAGTTTGTAAGAAGGCCCTCAAAATCTTGTGTTGCTGCTGTCTGCTCCTCTTGCTGTGACTGTTGCAGCTTGTCCCTGTAGTTGAGGACCTTGGCAATGTCGAGCTGCATAGCAAGAGGAGTTTCCTTGACATTCCTGTCATACAACTTATAGTTCTGAGACACCATAGCCTCCTGCGTATGCACAACGCCTCCTTGGCAGCCTCCCAACTGTCTGCCTCTACCCCTTCCACGAATGCAGTAGTTGTCCTCTGATGAACCTTAAAAAGCGTGAACTTGTGGTTCATCTCGTCAAGCGACAAGACCCCGCTCTTAACTTTTGTGAGGAAAGGGACCACCAGAGCATCATCGAGCGCAACCATCCCCAGCAGAGGCTTGTAAGGCATATCTACAGGCTCACTCACTATCTCATTCTTTTCAGAAACGTACATGAGAGGATTGAGAGTTATGAGAGAAAGACTCTCCTGACAAACATCTTTCTTATTCTTTTTCACTGGCCTTCCACCCTTTTTCCCTTTCCCTGTGTCGCTGGCAGATGCACTCGACTCAGCAACCTCAAGAGACTTGACCTTCTTACCACCCACACCCTTCTTCATCTTCACATCTTTGATCTTTGCCTGCTCCCACAAAGTGAAAATGTCAGATAGCAATCCCCAAACCTGTGGCCCTCTCATGCAGATCTGAAGTCGAGGATCCTAGGGACCAATCTGGTTCCATGAAAAAATTGGGATACCAAGCGCCTCCAAACATGCCTTGTTGGCCTCATTCGATTGCTCACACCCCATCCTTTCGAAAACGTCCCTCCAGTAGCGCATCCTCTGAACGAAAGTCAACTTCTTGTGATAACCAGCCGCATTGTTATGCTCATGACCAACCAGCAGGGACTCCTCAACAGTAAGTCCCACGTACACATAGCAAACATACCTCTTGTAGAAGTCAACTTGAGGGTGCTTCACCATCAAACGACTGCGTGCCTCACGACAATGACCGCCGCCCAAAATCCAAATGGTGTAGCCCCCTGACCGCAACTTCTGCACATCCACCTGATCAACGGCTGCACACTCGGCAGGGTCAATCATTCCCACATAAGGCAAGTGGTTCCCACAGGGCGCCCTTTCCATAGACGCCATGAGGACCCTGACGTGGTACTCTGCGGGGAATCTGACCTCCCTTGATCTCTGACCGTCAGGAGCGTCCACAGGAGGCCGGATCATGCAAGACATTGGCAAGCTCAAGATATCCTCAGTTACCTTCTTCGCATTCAAGGAGACCAGCCTGCTCCACATCCTCTCAAGAGGTGTCGCACCTACAGGCTCTGGTTCAAGATCCACAACAGCAGTGACAATATTTGTGGATCTCTTTCCTTTCCCACCAGAACCCCCACTTCCCTTGCGTGCCCTTTTGCCTCGCCCTTCTGGAGTCCGCTCTTCTGCAGCAGGCGGCCTAGTCACAACTTTTTTCCTTTTTTGCGACTGCTGCTGTTGTTGCTGCCCTGGAACTGTGCAGGGTGTCGCCTCGGCTCAGCCATGTTTGTATTTAGCAGAACCGAGGGTTGCCTACGAGAGGGTCCCTCTTGAGATTGCCTGTGCGAAGCAGTTCTACTGTTGTCTGCAGGCCGCAGCTGGGATACCACCGGTGTCTGCTGAATGGGGGGAGGACCAGGAACAGGCATTTCTGAAGAAGACATGAAGCCAATGCCAACCGAGTGCGGGACATCACGAGGAGCACCCATTTGCGCAAAAGGGTGGTAGACACCACCACCAGATACAGGAGGGAGGGGTGAAGACTGAACGCCCCCAATAACCGTGCGGTTTGCCACGAAAGTAGTATAATAGAAGCAAATGTACGCACCTAGCGTATTGCAAAACAGCTGCCACATAACAAGAGGAAAGAAAAAACAAGCAGCCCATGAGAAAAAACGAGTGATAACTGCAAACGATCGATGATAAATCTGCTAACATTACCATTAATATTGCTGAACTCGTTAATTGACAACTCTCGTGCTTGAGTGGTTGAGTGACCGGTTCGGTGGTTCTCAATAGAGCGTAGTTCATTCACACCACTAAGCAACAAAAAAAAAAAAAAAAAAAAAAAAAAACAGCAGACACAGACAAATTTGTCCAACAATCAATCAATCAATCAATCAATCAATCAATCAAAACAAACCAGTTCATGTGCGTCCCCAGTCCAGCTGCAAGGTCCAGTACTAGTTCTGGTTTACCAGAAGTTACAAACATAATTGATTGATCGATCGATTGATTGATTGACCGACTGATTGATTGATTAATGCACCAGCACTAGTTCTGGTTTACCAGGACGCAGCTCCCCTGCAGTAGAGCCAGTTCTGTTGCAGTACTTGTTCTGGTTTATTTGAACGCAGTTCCCCTGCAGTAGACCTGAATCTGTTGCAGGAGAAGTGGGTTCTGATGCACCAGAACTGGAAGTGGACGCGATTGCAAAATGAAATCGATTACGTAATCGATTCCATTTCGGAATCGCGTCCCTGAGGCGGCTGCAAGGTCCAGTCCACCACGCCCAGCTACCTCAGGGACACGATTCCAGAACGGAATCGATTACGTAATCGATTCCATTTTTGAATCACGTCCGTGAGCCAGCTGCGAGGTCCAGTCGGTGTGGACCGCCACACCCAGCCGCCTGAGGGACTCGCCTATGCCAAGCAATCAATCAATCCATCAATCGATTGATCAACCAATCAATCAATCAATCAATAAATCAATAAATCAATCAATCACTTAAGCAATCAATCAATCAATCAATCAATCAATCAATCAATCAATCAATCAATCAACCAATCAATCAACCAATCAATCAACCAATCAATTGGGGGGAAACGACTGTATTGAATGAGTACTGCAGCTATTTTTTTTTCTGTTTTTTTTTTTTGCGCATTCTAATGTGAGGCCTAATGGGAGGCGGGGGGAGGAGCAAAAGGGG